CAGGACTGGCCCATTGTCCTCCCCAGTCTCCTGACTGTCTGACTCCATTGCCAGGTCTGCAGGCTGTTGGCGGATCACAACAGCTAGTCAGCTAGGTGGTGACATGATAATTGGTATCTGCATTTCCATGATAACACTTTTCCTCAATTTAATGTCAGTGAAGTTCACTGACTATTACTTTCTGACTCATCTGTATTCTTTCCATTCTGGCAGTCTACCAATCTCAGTCTTTTGTGTTTGCTTTTGTATCACATAACAAATGCTTTAGCCATGATGTTGTGTCACAAGCTACTGTATATCAATGGTGGAATTCAAATATTTTTACTACCAGTTCTGTGAGCGTGGCTTGGTAGGTGAGGTGTGGCTTGGTGGGGGTAGCTTGGTGGGCATGGCAGGCATGGCAAAATCTCCATTCCCACCCCACTCTGGGACCAGCCAGAGGTGGTATTTGCTGGTTCTCCGAACTACTCAAAATTTCCTCTACCGGTTCTCCAGAACCTGTCAGAACCTGCTGAATAGCACTCCTGCAGTATATGCATGCCCTGTCAATCAGGATAAACTTCTCAAACAACATTCAGGAGGATTTATTTATTTATTTATTCATTCAGTCATTCATTTATAATATAAGTAGAAGCCTAGTTGAATGCTGATTAATGTATGTGGGAATGCGGTGGCCATAGTACATGTATAGACCAGTTTAACTGGTTGGACACTGTATGGAGCTTGGCACCGAAATAATCTGAGTAGAAAAGGTGGGTTCATATGGATACTCTCTGAGGGGCCCTATTCGTTCTCTCTTTGTTCAGAACATAGGATGTGCCTGCATAGCAGAGACATCTCCTTGTAGAACGGGGCCTCTCTGTTGGCAGGTGATGGGATGCTGGGAACAAAGCCAAATATGATAACATGGCAGAGTTAAGTTTTGTTTTTACCTTTAGTATCGCTTTCCTAGAATTCACGTGATTTACTGTAATGAAACTTATATGGAGAATATATGGATGCTTTTCTATTTCATGCATGTAATATGAGATGTGTAGCCATAATAACGCCTTCTGATGACGCTGTATTTTGATAATTAATAAAAGAGAGGTCTGGAGTCAGCTCGAGGCTTCCTCATCCCGAGAAAACACTTGTCCTGTGTTTTTCCTAAACTGGACTACTCATGAGAAGCCCACCAGGATGAATGCAACAAATGTAATGCAACAATGTTAGTTTCCTACCCCCTGTAAAGCAGGCCAAAAGAATTTTAAACTACCGACTAAAATACTAAATCAATTTACAAATGGTTAGGCTGTCATCTATATGCTATATTAATAACAATATAGTTAATGGGAAAAACAATAATAATAAAAGTATATATAAGTATAAAAATAATAAAAATTATTATTAATAATAAAAGAGAGACAAGATTGAAATTCCAAAACCCTCTGTTAACAAACTGTTATTGAAATCAACTTGTAGAAAATTTACAATGGATTCAATCCCAGATTATTCCCCAAATTAACCTTAATTGGTCCCAGATCAAATATCCAAGTTGGTTTCTTAATGCCGTCCCTTATCAGTTGCTGATTGATTAAATCCGATCAGACCAGTCTCCAAAACCAATCTATTTTCCCCAAATGAGATTGTTTTCCAATTAAATGTAACAAATTCATGCCCCACTCTCCTTAAAATCCCCTAAAAAGAACCTATTTACCCCTTTCCACCCAGAAGGTTCTCTACTATTATATTAGAAAATAGGATTAAATTTAAACTAAAAGTAAAAACTATACACAAGATAAAAGACATAAATAAAATACTATGAAAAACCAAATACTGCAACTCAATTAAAATATGGGGAGGGCACAGCAAGATGAGGGAGAGGTGGGATCTCTTGTTAATCCATCAACCACCTCCACTATGATGCTCCCACATTGGAGCCCCAAGCTAACTGGCAGATCTAAGTCTTCAGGGAATATCAGGAGGGTTGGAACCAACCTCACTGGGGGGGGAGGGGGGCAAGATGCTCCAAAGGGCAGGCGCAATGACAGAAAAGGCTCCTCTCCTGGACCCCTCCAGGTTCCCATTTTAATCATAATTATAAGTTTATTTATCAAGCATATATAAGATAACAGATAAAAGTATAAACATAATTTGAATACATGAAAAGAGTAATATTAGGACAGGGACGGTAGGCACGCTGGTGCACTTATGCACGCCCCTTATTTTATGTTTAAACTTGCTTAGCTTTAGTGGCAAGAGACCACGTGCATGTGGCTCTCATAAATTATCTCCCACACCAATAATATCATCAAGGCAAAAGGAATTAATCAGACTAGTCCCATCCATTAGTCAAAGTTGAAACAATCTGTAGGAGCATTAGAGTTAAGGGCCACAGCTATCAGAAAGGGGAACAAGAGCTTAGCAACTACTATTTAAGCAGAAAATGTAATTATGACCTGAACAGTATAAAATGTTGGCTTTGTTCTCACTTTCTAAAGCCTGATCTTCCTCTTCATTTTTCTCCGTTCCTGTTTTTGCTTGTATATTTAGTAATTAGATCTAATCTTTTCCTCCCCACCATTACCACACTGTGATATCATTATAGTGAACAGTATAAACTATATGTATAGTTTCATTTTGTCTCCTGCCTCTAATTTATTTTACCGATTGCAGGACTTCTTTCTCTTTTTCAGCAGTGAGCACAATGTTGTACACCTTGAAAGGGAATATAATGGATAGGAATGGTGGTATGCATGAGTTCTTTTGTGAGAATATCATAGGAAGTCCTACAGACCAATGTGAAAAAAACCTGGGTCTTCAATTGTTTTAATCTCATGAGCAAACTTGGATTTAAACCGGGGTGAAATCCAGCAGGTTCTGACAGGTTCTGGAGAACCGGTAGCGGAAATTTTGATCAGTTCGGAGAACCAGCAAATACCACCTCTGGCTGGCCCCAGAGTGGGGTGGGAATGGAGATTTTGCAATATCCTTCCTCCAGGAGTGGGATGGGAATGGAGGTTTTGCAGTATCCTTCCCCTGCCACACCCACCAAGCCACGCCACCAAGCCACACCCACAGAACCAGTAGTAAAAAAATTTGGATTTCACCACTGATTTAAACTAGAAGGAATCAGATTCCTCATTGAGAATGTTTCCTATATTATACTTGAATAAATTTTGCAGATGTCATAGGGGAACTACAGCCCTGACTCCTTCACCTTTGTAAATTCCAGTTGACCTTTTGTTAGCAAACTAGAGACAAGAAAAGGAGTTGCACATTGGAAAGATGGAAGTGTATGAAACTTAATAATAGAGAACATATACAATATCCAAAAGTCATATGAAAAAGAAATAATGTTTTAAATCCCATAAAGTCCCTGTCCATTAAATAGAAGGGGAATGTAGGTCTCTCCAGACACTGTTGAATTAGCCCTACAAGCCAATGGTTAAGTGGGATTCAGGGAATGGCCGCCCAGCCACTTCTACAAAGTTTCCAATTCCATCTCCTGAAAGAGATGAACAAACAGGATTACTCATGGCTTGATTCTCCATAGCCTTTTCTAAACGTTATATATCGCTCATTGGGTGAATTCCCCAATAGCAAAAGAGTGTGGCTGCTGGAAAAGGAGAAGGAAATAGAATCATAGAAGGACAGAATTGGAAGGTACCTTCGAGGTCATCTAGTCCAGAGGTCACCAACCTTTCGGACCTCAGGGACCACTAAATTCATAATTTTAAATCCCATGGACCACTAATATGATCTGCCTAATGACCTGCTGGGTGGGCGTGGCAAGGTGGTCATGTGGCTGGGTGGCCATGGCCAACTCAATGTCACTCACGTCGAGGGGCATCTTGCCAGCCTCTACTCGCTACTCCTCGTCTGCCCGCCCAGGCTCTTTAGGGCCCCAACATGAAGCAGTTGCTGGAGCTAAGCAGCCACCATGAGAAAGAGTTGGCAAAACAGATAGCTCAGTTCTAATTGGATCTGGCCGAGAAGGATACTCAGCAGAAGCACTTCACTGAAGACTACGAGCATAAGTTTTCCAAGCAGAGGGAAGAGCTGCAGGAGTGCAAGGCCAGGTACCGGCGCCTGGAGGCTCAGCAGGCTGAAATGGTCATCCAGTTCCAGGCCATGATGCAATCTCACTGGAACAAGGCCCTCCGGCTCCTTGCCACCAGCGGCACTTCCCTCCAGCCTTCTTCCAAAGCCCCACACCAGGAGGCTGAAGCAGACCCTAAGTCAGAATTTCTGCCCCCCTCTGACCCACACAAAAAGACCCCAAAGGGGGAGACTCTCTGCAGCAACACAAATGTTCATTGCACGTATCCGGCCCAGGGTCCGTAATTTGAGGACCTCTGATTTAGTGCAATATAAAAAATGCAAATATTTTTTCTGGGGACCACCAAAATTTTCTCACGGACCACCGGTTGGTGACCGCTGATCTAGTCCAACCCCCTGCTCAAACAGGAGACCCTATTAAATTTAAGCCAAATGGTTGTCCAAACTCTTCTACAAAAACCTCCAGTGAAGAAGTGAGGAGGCCTTGGGATTTCATTAGCAGCAGGCTCGCTTTCCAGCAATGCCCAGATGCAGGATGCGCATGGTCCCATTTAGTGCAGTCCATGGAGGTCAAGCCAGTCAAGATGGCAGCTGCAACCCCATGTGGAAAGTTGCAACCAAAAGCATGAAGATCTAAAAGAGCCCTTCTTGGGTTCCCTTTCCTCTAAAAATCAGAACCATTTTGTCCTGATATGAGACTGAAAAAGCGATGACTATCATTGTCACCTGTAGTCCAAGTCATGTGAGGGTAACTTCCATTTCAGGCAATCCTCGCAGGGCAGAAAGTTAAGTTCCTCAACTGAGGTTAACCTTAAACTGAAAACAGAAGTGAATGGAGCTGGGAGATTTTGTGACCACTAATTTGCATAGTGGTCACAAAGGAGCATAGTTATAAATTCTACTTTTTGGGGCAGTGTGAATGCTAATGAGAAAGGAGTTCATCATACTGCATTCTCTTTTGGCAAAGTTTAAAAGATGGTCTGTTTTTTTCTTTTCCTGCTCTTTTTTGGCCAGGTTGTTCAGAGCCTAAGAATCTGCTCTTTCAACGTGAGATCATTTGGAGAAGCTAAGAGAAAAAACCCAGGAATCATAGAGGTTATTGTAGAGGTAGGTAATTCACTCTTGGGGTTAAGTTAAATTAAATAGTGGGGCTTTCAACTGAATGATTATATATTAACATAGATGAGTTTCAGATTAATGTCTATTTGAGCGTTAATAAATCTGTGATTTTAGCAACAAACTTACCCCAGAAAGTCATCACCAGATCAAAACTACATGGATAGTAAGACTTTAATTGCAAATGCTGTTGTTAATAACTATGTAAGATTATGAAAATATTTGATTTCTTAGGGGGAAAAAACATTCTTTACCAAGGTGTCCTCGTATATTGCCCCTTTTAATTAGTTTAATTGCCACTGTAAAATACTTCTGAGCTCATTAAGAAGAAATGATAGTGACAAGTCAAAAGATGCCATTGGGGGCAAAAGTGAGAAGGAGTTGAATACATTCAAAGGTTTGGATAGGAGCAGGTTAACAAAAATAGTATTTTATTCTCACATTGCAATGACTTCTGTTTGGAATCATTTTATATTTCTCTGGAAAAGTAGAATGCAGCTTCTTTCCATGATTTTTTAATCTAATAAATAAATAATTTCAAATCTCTAATACTGATAAAATATGCTATTGTATGTACGATTCTCTTGATGCAGGCTCATTGCTGTGGTGTTTTAAAGGGTGGCCCAAAATGTTCATTTAACAGAATGAATTTATTTGGCTATTCAGCAAACAGTATGTCAATATTTGGATTTAGGCAGATTTAGAATACCCCTATGGCTCTTTAATCATTAACAGAGCTGTGCTCCTGTCCATGTGTATGTGTTTAAATTTAGAGATGTAGAACCAGGGGTGTCCAAACATGGCCCCTTGAAGAGGGGTGGACTTCAACTCTCAGAATTCCCCAGCCAGCAACTTGCTCATATTTATAGCGCATGCTGACTGGGGAATTCTGGGAGTTGAAGTCCACCCCTCTTCAAGGGGCCAAGTTTGGACACCCCTGACATAGACTGTTGTAATTTGTTTAATAATTGTAAGGCTGCCCCATTCAAACAAGGTTGCCTCTGGTGATATAAAACAACAGCAAATAAATAATCAAGCCAAAAAAACCCCACAAAGCATTAAAACATATGCAATTATATGATTGTTAACCCAAATGTCAAAGCAAATTCCCTCAGGACACTAATTATGAGAGATTTCCAAGAAAGAGAAACCAAAAGCTAATAAGCCTTATTAAAGTTTAATACTTACAGGAGTAAACATGCAGTGCTTCCTGGAATGGATACCAGGTATGTATGCAATGGTCCATCACAGGGGTGGGTTCTACTTACCTTTACTACCGGTTTGCAATGGGGCCGCGCGCACGCTCTTCTGCGCATGCGCAGAAGCGTTCTGATGATGTCGGGGTTGGGCGGAGTCTCCCTCCGGTTTTACTACCGGTTTTATAGAACCGGTCCGAACTGGGGGGGGCAACCCACTACTGGTCCATCATGGTATACCCATGCCAGGGGTGGGTTTATAAAATTTCTATACCCAATACACTGAGCATTCAGTATTTATTAGTACAACACAGACTATTAATTACAAATGTGTGAGAATTTAATTTACCAACCTGTCTTCCCTGTGAATTCCTCAGTGTCCCAGCACCTGTCATCACTCCCAAGCTGTGGTATACATCTATACCACATTTTTATATCAAAAGCCCATGCAGTGGTTAAATATGGCACTAGCTTGGTCCAGGATATACAATTATGTACTTATAATTTATGTTATATAGCAAGCTCAGTGCTAGTTATTGTATATTCTATCCCAGGGCTGTCAAACTCACGGCCCATGGGCCAGATGTGCTACCCATTCATCGGCCATGCCCACGCCCGGTTTAGCCAAGGGGGGGGAAGGTCCCGATATGTCACATGACGATGCTGTGACAATGTGAGTTTGACACCCCTGCTCTATCTTGATTAGCAGCACAATTTCAAGCAAGGTTGATTCTTCATACCTACTAAGATTTTCTCAAAGTATATGTTCTAATATTAACTAACAGGCCTTCCTAATACTGCTCTGAATCTGGGATTAGTGATCACAGTGGATTTTCTCCTAGTTTGTAATTCCTGAGCAGGAAAGAATGCTGAGTGGTTATCAGCATAGATGCCCCAATCACTGCCCCATGGCAATGCTTCTTAAGGCCTGGCAAAGAGTCAGCTGGGAGTTGTTACTTCCTCTAAGAAGCACAAAAAGGCAACTACTATCAAGGAACATCATCAGGAAAAACTCTGAATAACAGGTTGTATAGGACCTGGAAAGCATTACAAATTTGAACCAATATGTTCCCAATGTGTCATCTGTAACCATCACCACCACATAACCTCTTCAATGAAGGGGACATATTCTCAAAGGAATGAGGGTCATAGAGAATGTTCATTGGTGAATGGGAATCTTAGAAACGAAAATTATGAATAAATATAACTAAATGAACTGCAAAAATACCTTCAACATTTCTCCACAAAAAAGGCATGGTCAAGTTGACAGTATTATTTTTTCCAATGTCATTATTACTGAAATGTAACTGTTAGGATCCTAATTAAATTAGAGCTCTAATCAACAGTTCTCATAGTATAACATGCCAAGCACAGAGCCTTTACAGACCATTTTTGTTTGCTCCTCAGATTATATCTCGCTGTGATATTATGCTACTAATGGAAATAAAGGACAATAGGAACAGAATATGTCCCTTTCTATTAGAGAAACTAAATGGGTAAGATACAGAAATGAAGTCTTATTAAAACTGGCAGGGTTGGATGCAGTTTTGGGTGACATTGGATAAAATATTCGGAATGGAGCCACTAATTAGAGTAAATATTTCCTTATTGCTCTCATCATTATTGGAGGAAAGAAGAGAAAAAGAGAGGCAATATATGTTTGATATATAGGTGGGTGGGTGATATGTGTATGAGTCACAAAACCAATATTGATTAAAGATGATCAGAATGAAATATTAGTCTGTACAAGTGGTGGGATTCAGCCAGTTTGCACCACTTCGGGAGAACCGGTTGTTAACTTTCTGAGCAGTTTGGCAAACTGGTTGTTGGAAGAAATCAATAGGGCAGAGAACCAGTTGTTAAATTACTTAAATCCCACCACTGGTCTGTACCATGCACATTTGAAAACTATATTGCACTTTAACTATATTTATAATATTTATTATAATGTTTATAACTAAAACTGTATTTATATTTATTGTTAAGGATATTGTTGTGTTACCAACCAGCAGAGTAAGTGCACAGAGAAACAGTACTGAGAGCAATGAATACAATACATACAAACTGGTTTAACAAAGCTTTTACTTTGTAGTGAAAAACAATTGCATAGTCTTTTAATTAATCCAAGTCTTTAGCCATTCAAATCAGTCCGAAGTTACAGATATCTTCTTACCAGACAAAAAGCAGTTGGTAATAAACAGCAATTCAATGCTGGTAACAAATCACGATGGTAGCATATCCATCCATGTCTTCACACACAACAGTAACAGTTCCAACCAGCAAGTCAAGCAGCAAGTCAAGCAATGATGAGAGCAGGTCCAACAATGACTATAGCTCGGCTTCCTCCTTATATACAGTTTATACTAGTAATTATCCACTTAAGTGAAGTCAGCAGTGCAATGACTCAACAGTACAATTAGGATAATTGCAGTCAGCATTCAGTCAGCAGTCATTAGTCATTACAATGACTCAGCAGTACAATTACTCAGCATTACATTTAAAGTTACAGAATACATTTAAAGTTATAGCACACATATATTGCCTCGACAACTTGTTAGACTTATACCATATCCTAACATTTATAACTATAATTGTAAATATTTAATATGATTAAAACTATAAACTAATACAATAAATGTGCAAAGAGTAAGATTGGAACTTATAGTAACCACAAGAAAGGAACCGTTATTGTGACGTGTTGTGCATTTCTTTATACCTCCCTCCAAAGGAGTTTTTTAAATTGTTCTAAATGGACATAAATCCAGCCCATATACAGAGATCTGAGTAAAAGAGTACAATACAGTTGGACACCAATACTGTAAAAATGCACATAAAAATACATTTATATCGTTAAGTAGAATGTACAAATACAGATTTAAAGGATTAAATGCATAATATCCAGGAGGCATAACATCCAACTTTAAATATATATATATATATATATATATATATATATATATATATTCTTGCCTTTTCCTAGCTTTTCTTAAAAGTCTGCTGCAGTTTGTAAATTGGCCAAAGTGGGGGGGGGGTTAATTATTATTTTTCCTTCCCTGAGCTACCTTCCTTCCCAGTGGCTAATCTTTTATAAGTCCATCATGCAAGGTTCATTGGTTTTTCCAGTCACTTGAGTTTAAAAGACTTTACACCCAGCTCCCAAGCGTAGAGGAAAAGTAAGTGGCTCAGGAAAAGAAAAATAATATTTAAAAACATGGATCAAATTTGAAACTGGAGCTGTTCTTCACCTTAAGCAAGTGCTATAACCACTATGCCACTGAGAATGACCTATAGCAAAAGCTACAGATCTTCTTGAAGAATAGGTGGGAGGAGGGCATTCCTGCCTATGCACAGGAGCTAAGGAAGTATCTGGCAAAAGGGGGTTGCCTAAAAGAAAGTGAACTACTGCCATGCTTACGCTGGTGCAAACCAGAAAAAGGCTACTTTGGACAGGGAGCAGAAGAACACAGGCAGAGATTATATTTGTGGTGGGCTAAAAGGAAGGACCTGACAATGTGCCTTCTTGCTCTCCCTAAAACTGTTGGGGGCAGTTAAGATAAGCCCACCTGCATCTGAGAAACAGATTAAAAATCAGATTTATTTTTCTTCCCAGACAGTCAGAAGGACCATACAGGTTTGTGGTCAGTAACAGGTTAGGAAGAAGGAATTACAAGGAGCAATATGCTTTTTTCTACAGGTATGTTGATTTCATAATTTCATGCGGTATAGATGATATTATTCAGAAACTGTGAGGAAAAAATTAGAGGTCTACAGCTACAGAAATGGTCCCTATCTGTCTATCCATCTATCTATCTCTATAACTATCTATCCATATCTATCTACCATCTATCTCTCTATGTCCTCTCTCTCTCTCTCACTCTCTCTCTCTCTCTCTCTATCTATCCATATCTATCTATCATCCATCTCGCTATGTCCTATCTCTATCTACCTACCTACCTACCTGCCTGCCTACCTACCTACCTACCTACCTGCCTATCTATCTACCTATCTATTGCCATCCATCATCTATCTACAAATATACAAATGTACAAAAATAAAATGCAATAATAAGCACAAGTTGTTAAAACAGACGAGAAGACACAAGGAAGGATTGATGTAGTATGTGTTTGTTTTAAAAAAATAAAAAAACTTTTATAAAAAAAAGTTGTTAAAACAGTAAGATGAAATAAAAATATAGGAGGAAAATTAAAGGAAATTTTCTATTAATGCACTAGGCTCTCAGGGAAACAAAAAAAGAAGCATCATTATAGGTAGCAGAATCTAGCACATCTGCAGTTGCTAAAATAAGGAAGACATAAAAAGCTACTATACTTAGTAACTGTAATGACTATTGACTATAAACTTCTTGAAAAGAAGGTTGAAAGTTCATACGAGCATGTGAAAACCTAGATATTCATTAGATGTCAAGGGGAAAAACACTTTTGGTAGTCTTCTGGGTTTTCACAACCCAAATATAACAACTCTAAGCCATTAGAGCCATTAATAATGAACAAGTAACATTGTGAATGGGTTCTATGAAAGTTAAATCACAAACTGTCCAGCTCAGTTTAGCCTAGGCTCAAGTGCCCATGTGCATCAGCTCCTCAGGTATTAGATCTAATTATACCAAATATTTTTGCTAACCTAATTTAATTAGATGTTAAGTCCCACTGAATTCAATTATTTTAGGATTGTAAATTAACCATACAAAGATTTTTTTTTGTTACCTAATTTTTTATTTTGTAAGGTATCTTCGCCATGTTAAATTAGAAAGGCAGCCTTGGAATCATCAACATTAACATGTCTGCACTTGGGACAGTAACCTTCTACTGATATGTTAATTTATACTGCAGATCGGAAAGTGTCTGTGTGAAGCAAATCTATCAGTATCCTGATCTGCAGCCAGGTGATGAAGATGCCTTTTCCAGAGAACCTTTTGTTATTTGGTTCAACTCTCCAAGAACAGGTTAGATACAGTTAATGTACTTCCTGTTCGAAGGTTGAAAGTCAGAAGAAATGGGATCCTTGGAGAAGCCTGAGATCTGGAATAACCAGAAATATCCCTCCCCTCTAAATCTAAGGATTCGACACCAGAGCTCTTCTAAACCAATATCTGTTTGGCAAACCACCAACATTCCCACCCAAATAAACAGGTCCTATCCCAAACCCCAAAGAGGGCCATCCCTCCCCCCAACTTAGTTTTAATGAGGTGTTTAAGAATAGGGATAGGGGTCCTCCAGGAGGCAAATACTCACTCTTGACCCTCAACTCTGAAAAATGTGTCCAAATTGCAGAAGCTATCTCATTTCAGTAGGGTGATCTTGATGTGCTAGGCAGAAACCAATGGGTATATGTGGAGAGGGAAGATTCAATGCAGCACTGCTTTAACATGGTATTTGGACCAATCTGGTGAATCTGATACGGTCACCATTATCCCAGCAAGCACAATTGATATAATCACATGTTTTTAAAAAGGGCTTTAAGGTGCCAAAAGAAAGATCAAGCTATTTTTTTCTGCCTTTACAAAAGCATCTCAATTGGTCCATACACTTAAGGCACATATATCCTTGCACTGTAGAAGGCAATAGAGATAGTTATTGACTTATGACTGCAATTGTGCCTGGCAATTATGGTTGAAAGTTGTGACAATCCTAAAGTGGGTCATCACACGATCAGATCCAATTTTATGACCTTTCTTGTAGCAGTTGTTAAGTGAGCATGGAAAGTCATTAAGCAAAACCAATGCTTGCTATGGACCATTTTTTGCCAGAAACCAGAAGTAAATGTCAGTTTCCAACAAAATTGTGGTAAATCATGGACATGTGACCATGAGGCATTCCATACAGCTGTATATGTGGGTTGGTTGTTGAACGCCCAAAAAGAACTTAGAAAGCAGATCATAAGTAGCTTTGGGGAGATCTGTCGGTACATGACTAGTCATAAGTTGTGGACTATCCATACTACAGTATATCCAAAATAATAATAGAGCTACTATTAGGTAAATTCAAGCAGCAGCTTTGAAAAGCAGATCAGGAGAATGGCAAATTGAAGTGAAGCCCTTTTCATTGTTCTCAAGTAATTCAGCCATTTCGTTGCACCAAAGCAGAGGTGGTATTCAGCCGGTTCTGACTGGTTCTGGAGAACCAGTAGTGGAAATTTTGAGTAGTTCAGAGAACAGCAATTACCACCTCTGACTGGCCCCGCCCCCCATCTATTGGCTGCCTCCCGAGTCCCAGCTGATTGGCTGGGTCTTCTTTTGTTGCCCTGCGCACAGAGCTGGAAAGCATCGTGTGTTGGGTGGGGAGGGAATGGAGATTTTTCAGAACAGCTTGCTCCTCTAGCTGACCACTCTCTAGCTGTTTCTCTACATAGACAAATAGACATCTGTAGAGATTCTCAGTCATCCAAGTCCTAAAGGAAAAAGAAAAGAAAAAACAAGAAAGTCCAGTTGCCTCCTGAAAAAGCACCTTTGGGTCTACATAGACAACTTTTAACTGGGGTTGTTTCTGTTTCCATTTCTAAGATGCCCAGCTGCATGAACTGGTGCTATTGCATCAAGGAAAGTGGTGTGGTAGGAGGAGTGCTGGAGCCTTCTCCTGACTCAGGTGGTGAGATATCATTAATTCCCCCTGCAGAATAGCTGAATGAAACTCTAGTCACAACAGGCTTGTCTGCTTTCTTTCCCCTTTTACAATCCTACTTCTCCCACCAGTGCCAGTTTAAAAGTAATTCTTCAGTGTAGAAGGGATGGGACCAGTAGTGGGTTTCAATTTCATTCGCTACTGACGCTTCTGCGCATGCACAGAGACATCTGGGCAAGTGGGCGGAGCCTCCCACCACCGCTGCTACCGGTTCACCCGATCCGGGGCGAACCGGTAACAACACACCACTGGATGAGACACTAAAGACAGAAAATCAGAAAGAAAGAAAGCAATTGGTAGGGGCACAAAAAGTTTATTTTGTTTTTCGGAAATTATCTCTGGGTTCAAGTCCATGAAAATTAAATGTCTGATTCTTCAGTCTATGAGTTTAAAAATGCCAATAATCCATCATTGTTCTTCTCTTTAAAAAATTGTTTGTTAAGCGGTCAAGGAATTTGTGATCATCCCAATACACACAACGCCTGAAATGGCTGTGAAAGAAATTGATGAACTCTATGATGTGTTTCTGGATGTCATGTTGCGCTGGAAGACCAAGGTTAGTCAAGGTCAGCTCAACGGAGTGGGCCAATCTTCTCTCATGTGTGCATTATGTATTTAGGAACTCTATCTGAATATATGTCTCTCATTTTTAAAAGAATTTCGTATTTATGGGAGACTTCAATGCTGGCTGTGGCTATGTGGCAAAGAAGCAGTGGAAAAATATCCGATTACGAAATCACACTGACTTTGTTTGGATAATTGATGATAAAAACGACACAACTGTGAAATCAACAACACACTGTCCCTATGACAGGTAATGTTTCAGGCTGACTCATTCTTATTCCATTCAGTTCATCTACTAATACTACCTATTATTTGCAGTATGAAAAGAACCTGTCCTGTGAGGTTGGCAAAGCTCTAGCTGACTCATCACAGACACAAAACACAAAAATAGTGAGAATCAAGCTAGCAAACTTATATATAAGGCAGGAATAGACAATCTATAGTCCCAGATTGCCTGCAGCCCCCAGTTTTGGCCTCCCATTCTCTCTTTGACTATCAAAAGTAGATGACATGGCAACCCATCATTTTGAAGCAAGGAGTACTAAAACTATATGCACCCTAAAAAGTCTTCATGCAACAAAGAAATGTGTTATTATACACATATGCGCACATTCAAGAAAATTTGGAAATCTCTGCTTTTTAATCCATGTTCTTCACATCATTGTCCCAACCACTTAATATGGTCACTCTTCCCTACTTGGGCTGCTTTGGCGGATAAATTTCCATCCTTTGTGAGAAGGTTCCACCAGGATCGTACTCAGTTATGGTAGCCTCTCCCACCAATTGAACCAGACCAAGATATATGGAGGCCAGCTGGTGGGCTGGCCATCATTCAACCTTTCCCAATCAGTAGCATGGGTTCTCTCGTGGCATAAGTATGTCTAGCTGAGAGCAGGTTGGCTCAGAGGTCTAAATGGTGGGACCATTCCAATGCTTCTTGGTCTAATGACAGAAAGCTAGGGTGAGAAGGTTGGACACCAATCAGCTTCTTAGCAAGTTAATTCATATTGTGCCGTGTGATACAGCAAAATGGAACTAAAGCTGCCAGCTTTGGCTGGAAGAACTTTTCTTTGATTTTCAGAAAGAAAACTTTGTGCCTGGTGTTATGTCCGTGCAGGCACGAGCAGAGGCTTTTCCTTCTGCCACCCAAGTGCAGGAAATATTTTAAAGTTATTGGTTAAAGACTGACAGTTTTCCTTTGAAAGGGGCTGTCAGCCAGAAATTGCATGTTGGTTTTACTGAGTCCTTATCTAAAATAAACATTGCTGCTGGAAGTCTGGCTCCTCATCTGTGTTCCTATCCACAACATTCCATTGGCGATGAAGGTAGGATTGCTGCAGTGGTGGGTTTCAAAAAATTTTTACTACTGTAGGTGTGGCTTGGTGGGTGTGGCATGCTTGGTGACCATGGCTTATGGGCATGGCAGGGGAAGGTTACTGCAAAATCCCCATTTCCTTCCGATCAGCTGGGACTCAGGAGGCAGAGAATAGATGGTGTTGGGGCCAATCAGAGGTGTTATTTACCAGTTCTCCGAACTACTCAAAATTTCCACTACCGGTTCTCCAGAACTAGTCAAAACCTGCTGAAACCCATTCTTTATACGGGAGTATAAGACACACCTTAGTTTTTGGGGAGGAAAATAAGAAAAAAGCTGATTGGCGGGTGGATCAGCCTCCCGGAATATCCCCGATTAGCTGTTCCCAGAAGTGAATTTTAGCAACAGGTTCGTTGATTGTGAGCTATGTGCCTTGCTTTTTCAGCCTCTGAAACCTCAGTTTCAGAGGCTTTTTTTTCTGCCTCTGAAACCTCCGTTTCAGAGGCTTTTTTTCTGAAGCTTCGTTTCAGAGGCTTTTTTTCTGAAGCTCCCTTTCAGAGGCTTTTTTCAGCCTCTGAAACCTCCGTTTGAGAGGCTGGGTGGGGCTACATTCGGAGTATAAGATGCACCCAGATTTTCACCGTCTTTTTTGGGGGGAAAAGGTGCATCTTATACTCCGAAAAATACGGTAACGATATAATAAAAAAGATGGACAAATCTACTCATCTTCATAATCTATTTATAATCTACTTATAATTCATAATCTACGTATGAAGCAGATGAAATCTTGTGCAGGTAAACTCCACAAAGGTCTAAGTCTAATGAGGCTTGCATCCTTGTAACTCTGCCTAAAATCATGAACTTTACATAATTTTCATATCAGCTCTCTACCCTGATATTTTCTCTTTGTATATAATAAAAGTATGGGAAATCAGGGAGGGTGTAAACTGTTTTAGACAAGGTTGTATATCCAGGTCATCACATGATATTAGTACAAAACTACCACAGCTAAGAATTTTTCCAGAACTATCCTGGACAATTTATAAAAAATAAATTATATTTTATTTAATTGAATGAAAACTAGTAAAAAAAAAAAAAGCAGGAGACTGTCTATCCTATATAATGGCACATTAATAAACTATTGCAGCCCTATTACCCAGACCAGTTCCATTGGAGCAACATACATTAAATTCAACATGCCTTTTAAAAAAAACAATACCTGCCTATAATCTTATTGTATGCTTCCCTTCTTGCTGTGTTATGTGCAAAGGATACAAGGGACAAAACAGCTCCGAAAAGCCAGAAGATAAGAGATTCTCCCCAGCTGCTTATGATACTGCAGCGCAGCAGTGGGTCAGAGCGCTGGCTGCAGGCCATTGGTGCTTTTGAGTATCCATCCATTCCAGCATATGCAACCTTTCCTGCAATGTATTTCTTCTATGAGTGCTTAGGTAGTTACTCATGCCACAGTCTTGTTTTCACTTTCTCTTATTCTATAGGATTGTGCTCCATGGGGAGACGCTTATAAATAGCACCACGCTGGGCTCAGCCAATATCTTTGATTTTCAGAGTGCCTTCTCCATGACTGAAGAACAGGTTGGTTGAAGGATAAGGTGATGCTCCAGGGAAACTTTTCTGAGGTTTTGTATCTTTGGGACCAGCCAGGGCTTGTGGTCACAGCTCTGTGGTATCAAAAGGGAAAGAGGAATGGAAGTGGGATCAATCGGGAAAGAAGACGGGAAGAACTGAGACCAAGGTAGACCAAGAAGGGAAAATAAAGCAATGGGCATCAGATTTCCCACTAGTCCTCCATTGATGCTAATCAGATTCTTATGGACAAAGATGCAGTGAGAGAGAGGAAGCAAGCAAGAATTCCCATTTCTAAAGCAGCCTTCCCCAGCTGACCTCTCAGTATGTTGGAAATGTAATTGCTACAATTCACGGTTGACCTTAGCAAGTGTTTGTGTTGGTGGGGTTGGTGATCTATATGCAAATCTTGGCCTATGAGATTTTACACTAATTGTTGTTTTTCAGTGTCTGCTTCTCTAAATATCACCAATTTGTCTTCAGAAAAATTAAGGCTACTATATAATCCTTGATTTATGAATGGTTGCTTAGTGACCATTTGAAGACACCCTCCCCACCTACCCCCCAAAAAAGCTTAATAACCACTGAGTTTGTTTAACAACCATCCTGTTCTTTGCTTCTATACCTTCAGAAGTATGGTCTGTGCAATAGACGGGTACCTCTATTTCCATTTAAGTTCTTAAAATGTATAGCGAAGTCCATGGTCTGGAGTTAATATAATTGGGGAAAAGAAGTAGTTTTGCTTCATGTTTGTTGTAAACAACAATGAATATCAGCTACTAATCATAATATTAATTTTATACATAATAGTTGTGATATGTATTAATGCAAAGATGGCCGAACATAGTCTCTTAACTTAAAATATATATTTCTTCACAGGCCTTAGCAGTGAGCGATCACTTCCCAGTAGAATTCCAGCTGAGAACAACCAGACGTTCCTCAGGAAGAATAGCCAGATATTGTAGAACTCTTGTATAATAAATCCCGTCAAATGTCGTTCTAGTCAAACTTAAAACACGCAAACACAAAAATGTATATTCACAAGAAAATAGCTGATTTTTTTGGTCATTTTTGCTATGGAAATCTTGCTACACTATGATATATTTAACCAAAAAATGCAAAGCCCATATCTTTAATATTCAAAACATTCAAGATTAATTAAATGCTGCTTTTTCATAAAATAAACAATCTAGGTTAATTTGAATGTCTACATCTCTGTCCCATGGATTATTTGGTAAAAGAGTTTGTTCAGAATTGTTCCATATCTGACCTTATAAACACAGAAATTTAAATAGCCAGAACAGATCTGTTTGTGTGTGTGTGGTGTGTGTGTGTATGTGTGTATATATATATTACAAACTATTCTAAAAATACGAGTTCCAGGTACATATGTAAAAAAAGAAGCAGACATACTGCGAACTCCAGAACTTAAGATTTTAAAATTTTAAAAGAATTAAAATTTTATTTTACTAAGCTTTTGTCAGCCATCTGCTGACATCGTCAGAGTATTAAACTACCATTAAAGAGATGTCTGCCTCTCTGTATAAAGGGAGAGATCTCTCTAATGGTAGTTTAATACTCTGACGATGTCAGCAGATGGCTGATGAAAGCTTAGTAAAATAAAATTTTAATTCTTTTAAAATCTTAAGTTCTGGAGTTCGCTTCTTTTTTTACATATATATATATATATATATTCTACTGAGCTGGGACTGCAGAAAAACCTTGGTTATGTAGGGAAAACCTGGCTAGAGGAAAAACACACATAAACCCTACGAAGAAGTAAGAAAATAGATACTATACCTTTACAGGGAGGATACATAAGATGTGGGTGTGGCCTACTGATGAAAGCAAACGAGCTAGAAATGGATCTATATAGGTCTCCCACCTAGCAGGAAGAGCTTGCTAGCTGTTAGAAAAGAAAAAAGCCCAGAATCGAGTGGATGTGATTCTACTGAGCTGGGGCTGCAGAAAAACCTTGGTTACATAGGGAAAACCTGGCTAGAGGAAATATATATATATATATACACACATATATATGTGTGTGTGTGTGTGTGTGTGTGTGTGTATACATGTATGTGTGTGTATATGTACAGTACAGTATATATGTATATACTGTATATATATGTTTGTTTTCGTAGATTTTCATGGGTACAGGTATGCAAGTCTTGGTGTATTCAGGTCTTCTCCTGTGTAAGATTGAGAGCACTTTGGCAACGTTTCGACAGAATCTCATCTGCCATCATCAGGCTTATGCAAGGGGTCTTTTGCAGCAACTGCCATTACTATTTCAAATCTGGTGCTGGTAGTGTGCTTTACTGGGATGTCCCCACCTCTTCGTTCTAATTGGTTGGGAGTCCCAGTCTGTGTTTATTAGCTTGGCTTTGGGTGTATGGTCGGTTTTTCTCCACCAGATGGCAGGGCTTCATCTTTGTGGCTGGCTGGAATGTGATTTGGTTGGAGGTCTCGGGGGGGTGGGTGTTTGGCTTCTGGGATGTAGATTTTTCTGTCTGTGGGTGCTGGGACTCATTTGTTGACAAGGGCTAGTTTCCAGATGTCTGGTAGGCGGGAGGTATCATCACGTTTATTCATGTTATGGGGGCGTTTTTCTATTTCAATGGCTTCCATAATTATTCTCTTGTTTATTTATTTATTTATTTTATTTTATATCAAATTTATATACCGCCCTTCTCCCTGAGGACTCAGGGCAGTGTACAGCCAAATAAAAACATAAACTACAAACATTAAAATACTATTAAAAAGATATATATAAATTTGGCCCCGTAATTAAAAAAACAATGACAAACCAGTTAAAAACATTTAAAAGTGTTAAGCTAGCCCGGCTTGCTGAAAAAAGAAAGTTTTAAGGGCACGGCGGAAGGCACCGAGGTCTTGTTGAGGTGTTCAGTTTTGGAGATTAATTTGGTTCCTTCAAAATAAATTTCATGTCCTGTAGCTTTAAGGTGCTGGAAAAGAGAGGAAGTTTTTTCTTCTTTTCTGACTGCATTCTTGTGTTCTGCAATGCATGCATTTATTCTCCTATTAGTTCATCCGTTGTTCCTTTTATATAGGGCAAGATGGCTTTCCCATTGTTTTGTTCCTCTTGTTGATTTCTCTTCTGTCTGGATGTTGCATGCTGGATCATACTGATGATTTTATTTCTACAGAACCCATTTGATGTCAGTACGTTAGTTAATGTATATAATTCTGTTTGTAAATGTGCTTCATCAGCCAGACGTTTAGTTCTTGTGGTTAATGTTTTAATGAACAACGGATAAAATTAGCAAAGTACTGCATAGACACAACATCAAAACCATATTTTGCACAGACAGAAAGATATCGTCTATTCTGAGAAACCCTAAAGACAAAATAGAATTAGAAGATCAAGGCATATACGAAATCCCGTGTGCTTCCTGCCCCTCAACATATATTGGACAGACCAACAGAAGAATGAGTGTGTGCATCGAGGAACATAAAAACTCTGTACAAAAGAAAGAACACACATCATCATTAGTACAACACATAAATGCCACAGGACATAATATTAATTTTAATAACACAAAAACAGTTGCAAAAATAGAACATCTCAATGGCAGAATAATCAGAGAGGCCATTGAAATAGAGAAAAGACCATATTGTATGAATAAACATGATGACACTTCCCGTCTGCCTACTATTTGGAAACCTGCTCTCATAAGCAGATGAACCTTAACACAAAATATAAACCATAGATCAAAGGTTCATCAAAATGCCTGTGTTGCCACCAGTTCTAGAATAACTTATCCATTGACCCACAATCAAGCAACAGCGCTTCCACCCAATCAAAATACAGCTACGTCATCAGCCAATCAGAATACAACAACACTGTTGACCAATCAGAATACATCTTTGCCTCTTTTCATAGAAAAACGTCAGTTACGATCACACAGTTTGCCCATAAGCAGCAAACCGAGAACATCAGCCAGAAGATGACGAATGTGATTTCGTCGAAACGTATATATATATATAAAGTGTTTTTCTATCAAGACACCTGGTCTACCCCAACATGTGGGAGGGGGTATTCTGCTCCCTTTCACCTTTCAGCTCCAATCCAGGATCCCTCAAGGAGTCGCATTCACGGTAAACCATTTTATACCAAATTTATATTTTGCTGATAAAGAAATAAAGGGAGACTAGTATAGATCTATTTCAAGCTTTTTAGCTTTCATCAGCTAGCCATACATACATACATACATACATACATACATACATACATACATATATATATATATATATATATATATATATATATATATATATATACACATATGTTCAAATTCTTTGCAAACCATAGTCAAATCATGAGATAAAATCTGATACAAAATAATAGTCTTCAGTGAGCTGACCCATCTTTATTTGTATCATCTTTCATGTCTTACTTGCTCAAAGACCATCAACATACATTACTATGTACAAAGTTCAGAGAAAGATGGATTTCAGACTGGATGCCAAAGGTCGCCTTCATAAATTCTCTTGTACTAAGATAGTGGCTTGGTTCATACATTGCTAAGACACAGCCTGGAGTTCGTGGCTCAAAATGTATGAACCAACCCAATGTGCTCCGTCTCCAAATAATTATTGAAATAAATTATGACTTTAGATATCCTTGAACTCCAGACATTTTTGAATGCAAGCTGTTCTTGAATTCCTCAAGATGCTTTTGCCCCCAAATGTTCTTTCATAGTAATGTATGTTGATGGTCTTTGGGCAAGTAAGACATGAAAGATGATTCAACTAGAGATGGGTCAGCCCACTGAAGACTATTATTTTGTATCAGATTTTATCTCATGGTTTGACTATATTTTGATGTGTAGGATTTAATTTCTTTGCGATACTATAGTAACTTATTAGAGATAATGTTGTTTAAAACCTGATAACAGTGAGTGTTTATATTAGTAGAGCAAACAATTATACAAGGCTTTTTTTCATTAAGCAAACAAGAAATATCTTTTCAAACTGTGTATACAATTGGTAGGAACCATGTAAGTGTTGAAACCAGCATGGCCCCATTGTGAACTGGTAGTAAAGGTAAGTAGAACCCACCCCTGAATGAAAGTGCCTTGGATTATTAGGAATGGCTTATATAGACTTGGTTAATTTATTCATCATAGTTTAATTGTGATTTATTGAATATGCCACTATTGACTTGTACGGTATACTATGGCAAAATTAAGCAAGCTGTGCTATGGATTGGCCTGCTGACAATGTTAAAAATAATAGTAATAATAATTTATTACACTTTTATTATATATTGCCTACCTCAGGAAGAGCCTTAATAAGAACTGACATAAAAGATTTGCATATATATATAATAAACTTTTACCTTTGTCATCCCCATTCTATTTTTATAGAATGTCATTCTTCTTTTCAACAATGGTGTTCTATATTACAGATATAATTAATTCTGCCCTAAAATGGAAACACTTGATTCTAGCAGGGTCATTCCAGAAAGAGAGAAAATGATTTATTTACTTCCTGTGGTGGGTGACGAGTTGCTAACAATGTCCTGCTTGTGTTGTTGCTCAAGTCAGCAACCCAGTCTTGCTTCCTTATAAAGATCTTATCTGCTTTGATGATTTTTCTCAAGAGAAAAATATGGAGAGATCAAATAACAGCTTTGATATCTCAACTAACCCATTTTTTTATTTATTTATAATACACCTATTAAATGTATATGCTGCCCATGTCAAGCAACTCAGGGCAGCAAATGTTCTACAGAACTGTAAAGAAGATTTTCAAGATGCCACAGGAACGTGTTATTAACGTTGTAATAGAACTGCCATATTTCTTGCCTCTCTGTTTCCCCATCCTTTCCTTATATCAAACCAGCACTATTCAACTTTCATTTATATATTTTGAGCTTTGGTCAAATTGAGTTGAAGACATTAAAAAGCTGATAAGGTGAGTCTAAACATGGCAGCTTGGAAAGTCAAATAAGAAAAACATTTTGCTCTCCCTCC